ATATATCTCTTTTTTTTAAATAATGTAATTTGATTATTTCCTATTTTGATTGCAGAAATATGTTCTTTATTTACATAATTTATCTTCAGGAAAAAATTCAATTATTTCAATATTCCTATCTGATTCCTATAATATATAATTTTCACAGTTTTAATTGATATTGTGATATGATTTTTACAGTTTGTAAAGTGTAGTTCAGAAGTAGATTTGTTTTATCCATCAGCTATTTTGTATAAAGTTTGTTTATTTACAGGAACTATATACCGGTCTCATGCAATTGCAATCTTTGGTATAAATAATTTGTTCATTGGATGAACGGTGTTATCTTGCAAGGCTTTGATGAAACTCTGTTAGTACTTCCGATTCTGGAAAATATTCCTTTCAATAATTTTGAAACTATTGTTCTCACCTCAAAAATATTTCCTATATTCTGAGTAAACAAACTCGATGATAAACCTTGCGAAACTTCATTATTCCATGCTATAGCTTCTTGGATATCCTTGGTTTTGAGTACGTAAACTATGGGTGCGAAGCATTCAGTATGCACCAATTTATTATTATGTTTTAAACCAGTCACTATCGTGGGTTCCACAAAGAATCCTGGTCTGTCTAGTACCTAAAAATAATCACAGAATATCACACATTTCTTGAACTAACCTATAGGTACACTATTTTATAATTTTTATATTTGAATAATCATTAATACAATTTAAGGGCCAGTGGAAAACGATGAGGTTCCGTTTAAATGGAATTGGACTTGCGAGCGGAACAAATTATATGTACCTAAATGTAACGCTGAATATCGAAGAGAGTTAGAGGCTATAATCTCTATAACCTAGCAAAAACACCTCATAACTTATGATTATACAGGACTGGTAAACTTTCTCGGTCCGCCACCTACAATTCATTTTGAAGAGATATTTTGTCGCATAACATACTGTTCTGATATCATTTCTATATGGGTTATTGGAAAGTAAGTCTAATATTTACAATTTTATTATTCCCTAAATCTGTATTGTTGATGAGAAAACGATTATCGACGCGTCAATCTAGTCAAGATTCTATAAAAAAGTTAAACACCAAATAGTCTCAATAATTATACGTTCAACCTATAGTGAATAGGTATTTCCAGCCACAGATATTAGTACGGGTGCTAATAATTTCGTATCCTAACCACAGATTTTTATTTTCCTCTACGTCAGCATGTGTGGCCAAAAATCTGTGGATAACTTCACGCCAATCCTGACTGATTGAATTCTTAAGTGGTTTATAATACCTATGTAGTAATTTTTCGGGATGAACTTTTCAGCACATTCTCTATTAATTATGATTTGTTTATTTTTTAGATTGTTTCAAGTTCAAAACTTTTGTGACTAGGGCCTAATAGAGATTGATAGAAATTTACCCGCTAATGTTGAATTAGCATCAAAATACTTTTTGTGACAACTCTTTAGATACTCTATGTGACGTAGGATATGACTTTTTCAACTTACTTCTAGTACAGATTAATACCAGGAATATGTAGAAATAAGGTGATGCAACAATCATCCTGTGATACACTTATGAAAATGATGTGCAGCATAGATGCTAAGGTTTCCTATCGAGGTGACCGTAGTTAGGTAAATTCTGCCTTTGTGGAGGCTAGTGATTCATATAAAAGTTGATTTTCCTCACCACTGACTATTGGGACAAACCCTGTTGGGATTGTTGTTTTGTTGAATCAAATTGAATCATAACTCTCCCACTATTCAATTCGGATTAGGATACGGCTGACCAAAAGGTTTTCGGCATATGTAATCATCCTAAGAAAACGTCCGACATTCTTCACGTTCTTTTGGTGGGGCATAAATAACAAGAAATATTGACTAGTCCGCACAAAAGTCTTTCAAATAAGATTTATATGGGTGACATACGATAGAAGGTCGCCTATTGATCTTTGTTTCCAAAAGCCATATTGAAGTTCGCTCAAAATGTTGAAGCCTTCCAAACATTTAAGGATGTGGTGGTTTACAGCCTTCTCCATGATTTTTGAAATCACTGATAGCATGCAGTAGGAGATTTGAGCCGGTTCTAAGCCTCCCCCCACCACTATGACGTCACGTGGGGTGGATGACCTAGACCGACTCATGTGACCTTGAGAAATTTATTCAATTCGGATTAGGATACGGCTGACCAAAAGGTTTTCGGCATATGTAATCATCCTAAGAAAACGTCCGACATTCTTCACGTTCTTTTGGTGAGGCATACCTATGTGATATGTGGAAAATAACAAGAAATATTGACTAATCCGCACAAAAGTCTTTCAAATAAGATTTATATGGGTGACATACGATAGAAGGTCGCCTATTGATCTTTGTTTCCAAAAGCCATATTGAAGTTTGCTCAATATGGCTCAAAATGTTGAAGCCTTCCAAACATTTAAGGATGTGGTGGTTTACGGCCTTCTCCATGATTTTTGAAATCACTGATAGCATGCAGTAGGAGATTTGAGCCGGTTCTAAGCCTCCCCCCACCACTATAACGTCACGTGGGGTGGATGACCTAGACCGACTCATGTGACCTTGAGAAATATGTCTGGTGCATGCCACCTTGAAAAATATGTATGGTGCATAAGACCTTGAAAAATGTGTCTGGTGCATAGGTGGTATGTGTACATCACAGATTACAGCCGGTTCTGGGCCTCCCCCCACCACTATGACGTATTAATTGCTTTTTTATTGTTGTTGTTGTTTAGTGAAGTCAAGGCGATGTGACCTTGAAGTGTCTGGCGCATGAATCGTTCAGAATTTTTTTCATATGAGATTTTGTGTGTGTATGTGTGTGGGTGTGACATAGTGACGTAATTACATTTGATTGGTGTGTGTGTGAGAATGCACGGTACAGGGTTTCATCATGTGCTTGTCTATGTACAAACATACGTCTGCATGCTATAGTTATTTGGAACATTTTTTTTTTGGTCTTTTTGGGAATAGGCTGAACGCGAGCAACCTTCCAACAAGAAGGAAGAACCCCCCTTTCTTGTGAGATAGGTTGAAAAGTCTACAAAATACTGGAGCGAGTTCATTGGCGTACCGTTTCAAAATTCGCCCTACCAGACGCTGTCGAAAAGTAATTTCCGGCATTGTGGATTCTAGTGTGAGAATAGTGGGTAGTGTCTTTTCCAGAAAGTCGACAATGTAGTGGGACGCAAATTGTACAGCTAGTAGATTTGCTTTTTCTATGGCTGTTGTTGCAATTGAACCATCCGTTTGTGTTAGTGGTGGAATTGTGAATTTTGATCAACAGCTTTAGCTACTGACCAGAAGGATCTAGATTCGTTGGGATTGGCAAGTTCTTTGCTTTCATTTATTCTAAGTTTGCAACTGTTGCGAGCATTAATAAACCTTGTTCGGTTTTCGGCACTGGGATTTCTGAGCCACTGCCGGTAGGCGAGAGTTTTGGAGGCGACAGCTTGCTCGCAATCTTTGTTGAACCAAGGTTTGACGTTGGAAGTTCACTTCATTGAAAAAGGAATATATGTATCCATATATGATAGAATAACTTCCGTGACCTCGAAAACACGAGTTGATTGATCATTAGGGCTGAAACAAACATCTAGCCTTACTTCTATTACCTATACAAGTAATATGGCTCTGAGATGGTACATTTTGTTCAGCGGGTCTTAAAATAACCCCGCGCCCCAGTGCTAAGATGAAAATAACAGGTAACAGGCATGGACGCTAAAGAATATACAATAACTCAGGAATTTTCGGTTTTCCCGACCAATAAAATTTGAGTCGATTTGAATAGTACTCAAAATTAGGCAACTTTAGGCACAATTAAATCTACTCTACTTCGTTTACGAGATCCCTAAACATAAACTCGACTGTGAATAGCCCTAAAATGAATGTCCTTTAAAGGATTACGGTACGAACATTTACCAGAATTGATAATATCTAATTTTTTTCAAATACGATTTAATTGTATCAATTGCTGTAAATACGTTTGATGTTGGAAAAGAGAGGTTTTGGGTTTCTACTTCTATATCTTTATATAAAAAATGTGGGAATCTTCCAAAGAAAGGAAGGAAGCAATCAATTTCAAAAAGGTAACAAAAAGGTAGATCATGCAAAGAAGTAACTTTCTGATCACCTCATAACTTATGATTATACAGGACTGGTAAACTTTCTCGGTCCGCCACCTACAATTCATTTTGAAGAGATATTTTGTCGCATAACATACTGAATACACATTCTTCAATATACAGAGCAGACGTAAAAAAACCCTCTCCTTCTTAACTTTTGAACAGGTAGGATAAATTTTCATCAAAAGGCATCAATTTCAGTACTGTTTAAAAAAAGAATAGTGTTACATAACATGAGTCAAGAGGGCGCTACCGACTTTTTTCGAATGGGTAGAGGATTTTGTATTACCTCGTTCATTAAGAATTTAAATTCTCTATCCAATACTGATTTCAATTTTGGAAAACGGATTTGCCATTCCTGATCGAGTAATTAGCGGTTTTATATTTGATTCAAGAGTCTGCAGACAATCCATGATTATCATAATTTAAAAAAAATATTCAAAACACTCCAGTTCATTCCAATAAACGTATTACATGTTTATCAGTCATTTTCTGACAATAAAAAAGTTTGTGATCAATTTCATTTTTCATACTGTTGAATTTTGTAACTTCTTAATCTATAATTGAACTCTGAAATAGACTGCGGTTATGCAACGTATATGTTATATTCCATGCATCCCCATAAAAAATATGAAAACGTTATACCAGGTGATCTAGCTCCAAGTTGTCCACTATTCTAGTGGACAACCTGGAGCTACTATTCCACTATTCTAGTGGACAACCTATGTGTATCAATTGGTTTGGATAAATGTCATCTAGCCACTTTCGAATCGGTAAGTCGTGAGAAGGTACCTCATCTTGCCGAAGAGTAAAGTCAGTTGAAAACCCACCTTGGTTCTTAGTTTATCCAAACCGGCAGGTAAGTAGATATGGTTCCTTAAAACAAACCAGGGAGTCACCTGATATTACGTTTCTAGAGGATACGTGACATCCGAAGTGTACGATACACAACTGCAATGCATTTCAGATCTCGTGGACAGAAAAAGGAGTGCTTGCAACGAAATTACTGCTGGAATATTATATAATAATAGAGAACAAACTCTGGGCTGGTAAGCCGTGGTCGAATGAAATCTGGACTACCATACATTTCGTATGCAACTACAACAGAATTCATCAGTGGATGCATTGAGTGTGACTACGAAGGATATATCTCGAAGTCTCAGCAACGACTGATGATGGCGAGTTCCATGATTATTGCTATTCATGATTTTGAGGTAGTAAGGGTGATGGTAGGGATAGGGGCGAGGGTGGTGACGGGGTGTCCATGCAAATGATCACTACTGATTGGATCGCACTTTTGCTAGGTTATTCTGATTGGTCTATGTTGTTGACAAATATGCTGCTGGTGGGAAATCGACTGGAGTTGTATTCTAGTCCATTTCTGTGATTCTTGAGTACTTGATACCAAATTTTCGTCTACCTTCTTCTTTTCTCTTGAAATAGTTGGGAAGCCTATAGATCTCAGGTCTCCCAATAAAGTCATGGGTGGTAATTGGTAATGCGTTTCTTCGTATTCCATTACGTAGTCTGTTTCTGCTAAGGAATGTTCTGCAATTGCCAATTTATCGGATATCATAAGGCGACAAGTACACTTGTGTTCTTATATGTTGATGCTGTGTTTGGTAGTTCCGATGTAAACAGAAACACGGAATACAGTAAACACCCGCGGATTTCAGAGGCTCTCCTTTGTCCTCGGCCGATAGGCGAGTGATGCGTAGTTGATCAATTCGTTTTTGAATATTGTTGATGTTTGCGATCCGTGACTTAGTATTTGTAAGGTAAATAGATTGTGTCTTACATTTTTGAAATACTACTTTGTAACATTTTGTTGTTTCAAAAGTTTCATCAGTTTTAATGTCATTTTTTTGTAGCTCCATATCTCAATGAATATTTATTTTGTATGAAGGCTATTTTCTGGGTTTTCTGGCCATGGTCTACAGGTTTTTATGCCTGAAGTTTCGTCTACTGCTGTGGTAACGGTCGCAATAACCGAGCTGGTTCCTGTTGTATCCAAAGCATTACCTCATTCTATTGTGTCGTGGTATATACTGATCGATAGAGAATTTTGTACTCTATACATTGGTGCTATTCATTTTTTCCAAATTAAAATTTTTGCCTCTCTACGCATTCAAATTGAACTAAAGCGCTGCCAAAACAACCCGAAAAATCAACCAGGCATTTGGCAATTATACTGTTAATGAACGCACTGTTCAACTTTGGTTTGAGAAATTTAGTTTTGGAGTCTTATTGTGAGAAAATAGACGAAATGTGCCGAAAATTGAATTAGCACGACAAAGCCGGTCGGCACATTTCACAAACCACCGTCTGAAAATTGAACGAATTGAGCGTCGAAGCATAGTAAATATCAAGCAGTAAGTCTACTCCCCTACTTTCATTCATAAATTCACAAAGTTCTCGGTGACTTCGAAACAGAGTGTGGAGCAAATTTAGTTCTTTTACCATAGGCGTGCGCTCATATCAAAACGAAATTTGAGGTTATTATAGAATATTTGTGTAAATGACTTATAACCAACTACAAAAACTAAATACAATAATAACAACAACGAATAAACTAAAAACAAAATCAATTTACAACCGTTTATTATAACTAATCTGTCCGTGGTACCGTCAAATACTTCGATACTTTAGCACTGAACGCGTTGGATGAGAATCTCATCCTAAGAGCGGTTGAAGGTCCCCGGCTATTTGGGCGGATCACGAGGGAGCCTACTGGTTGTATTATTCTACTGTGGTCGAAGTACTGCTTTACCCCCCGCACTCCCCAGACCTCTCACCAAGCGACTACCATCTTTTCAATCACTTCGATAATTTTCTCACTGGTAGAACCTTCGTTAATCAGAAGAAGGTAAAAATGGCCTTCGTCGGCTTCATCGAATCCGGAGCACACAATTTTTATGCTGACGGAATACATCGACTTGTGTTACGTTGACAAAAGTGCACTGATTCAAATGGAGCGTATTTCCATTGAATTGAAAAAGTGTTTACTGAGATATTACAGTTTAAAATAAAATAAACGAAACTTTCGAAACAAAACAATGAAATAACTTTTTTATTGCTAGGAAGTGAATGATGAGCATGTTGAACATTTACTTGAATCAACTGTAGTGAGTTTTGAGAAGATTTTTGTTTTGAAATTTTGTTTGTTTGCAAATTCTCAAAACGAATATTGAACTGCTCATTATTCAAATACTGATCCTATTTTTAAAAAATATACATATCAGTGTTGAATAGAGAATTGCAATGACTTTCAAACGATGTCTCATATGTTTCCATTTGTAAATTGCAAAAATGTTTATGAGATAAATTCACAACATAATTGTGTAGGTACGTCAAGACTGAGGTGTAGATATAAAAACGTAGGTATATAAAATTTGTAAAGCTATGTAAATAAAATTTGTAAAGCTATGTAAAGCTGTAAAAATGAGATAATCCTAAAAACTACGCTTCATGTAATAACGTTAAATAGACAGTACTAAATAAAGTCCATATATGGGAAAAACATCTTCAATATTATAAAGTGGATTTACAAGAAGTGATAGTTTTAAGTAGTGTTTCAATTTTTTTGTAGTTCGATTTTACTAACAGTGACTAAGACAGAAAGTTTCGTTCAAAAATATGGACATTTTGAATACCGCAGGCGCGTGTATAGAAAGTTATTGTAATTTTAGATTTTAGATTATTTGTATTCAGTCTATTGTACATAATTTTGCTCAGTAGATATAGTAAAATCGAATATTCATACCTTTCCTCCAAATTCAATTGTTCCACCTTCGTTTTGTATTTCACATATTGTATTTCTAAATTTTTGTAAAGATTGTTCATTGTGTAGGGGCCCTACTAGAGTATTTTCTTCCAAGGCATCTCCAATTCTGTTAATAACTTGGGAATAAGCTTTCTTGAGCCTCTGTAAAACCTCATCATATATCTGAAAAACACATGAAAACTCAATTAGTTGATAATCATTTTCACAAACAGAGTATTTTTCTAAGTGTCCGATATTTCACAGAACGATTCCCCAGATATTTTCAAGATAAAAAGTTCATGTAAGCGTCTGCGCGAGGTTCCGGCTGAATAATTCTTGAGATAATGTCAATCTCAATACGGAAAATTGAAATTTGATATTAGTTTCGTTTTTTACTTGTAAATGGCGCAACCTACATGCTTTTTTTCTCTTTTCAAAAATCATTCTTTATATACCGGAAAGATTAAACAGTAGTAGACACAGTCATTTTCTTGAAGGCGATTTGCCTGTTTTACCAAATTTGTCGCTCAGATCAATAAATGAAATGTGGTTTATGCATGACGCTGCCCCGGCACATTTTAGCATCCAAGATCGATGGATCAAACTTTCAATTACCGTTGGATGGGTCGAGAAGCGCTTCAATGCTAGCCCTCTGGATCACCATTCGTTCAGTTTACAAAAGTGTTTACAAGAACTAAGACAGCGAATAATAGACCAACGTAGAAAAAATGAAAATACTGCAGAGTGCAATAGGTAGGAAAATTTTATTTCCAACATTTATTATGATTTTGAATACATTTTTCATCTATAGTGTTTCGTTGTTTATTGTTGTTTGAAAATTAACATTAACACGAGAGGCATCGATTATAACATTTTATTGACACGATATGATACATCTTTGGAAAATAGGAGAGTTATCCTTGGTATGAAAATCCTGTATAAATTGCAGCAATATTGACAGTACGGTTCTTTTACCCAAGATCAATTTCTTAGTACCAAGAAACGAAGAACGACACAATCTGAAGTTCTATTGCGAAGCATCACGTACAAATGTCATGGTACGATCAACATTGAATTTTATGTGCAGTAACTTTAATAAAATCTGTGAACATTGCAATATTCATTTCGACTCTCTGTATGCCTTGGTATCATATATCAACAATCACTTTTAATAATACTATAAATAATATTTGTGTCAGTACTGCTACATTGCATGATTTGTATTTTTTGTTGTGTACTCCATTTTTCATTCCTCTTTTGGAATTCTACTCATACGAATATTTTTAGAAGACTTGTAATAAAATTATTTCCTGAAGCTGATGAAATATTCTTAGTAGGTGAATTTAATATTGACCTGGTTAATGGCAACATATCTGCCTTCCTCAAATACTTTTTGAAAACTTATATAGTCTTTTGGAACTCGACTATCGTACTCGAACAATTTCAACCATCAGAATTCTATTTAAAGTATTCATTACATCTACTCAAAGTCTAGGATCAGATCTATCTTTGACAGATAAATTATCCCAGCAGTTTGAGTGAAATTAATGCTAAATAAACTGGAAGACGAGAAAAATATATTTCTAAACGTGGTTTTTCTATTTTTGAATTAGTTTTAGTTTGTTTTATTATGATTTGAGAGATGTGAACTGGGATTCAATTCATAACTGTATATTCCTAAATGGAATATACAGTTATGAATTGAAATATACACATTTAGACAGCCTGTTCTCTCTTCAGGATAAAGCTACAGATACCTGCGAAACCACACACCCTTTTAGATAACTACAAAACAGGTGGTCATTCGAGAACTTTAACTTAACACCGTGTCAAATTACTTGCGTTAAATTAAAAGTAATGCTCTTGGTTATGGTGACGTATCTCTTTCCATAATTCATTTGGTTAGAGGAGAAACTCATTCAATGAGTTGCCTTCATAACGAATAAATGCATATTTCACTGTACCTTTTCTTCAACGTGCACATATGACTTGGTCCTTCCTCTTCCGAAATGCTTTTTGCCTAAAATATACTCGGACTTGCGACCGATCAACATTCTGCCAATATCGAAAGGATATTGGAATAGCAAATATTGGAATACGTGAATTCCTCTCAAAAATTTCTAGTACACAATCTGGCTTTCAAAATCACCGTTCTTTTGAAAATTAAAGGTAATATGACGAATTCAGTCGTATGATGAAGGAAATTTCATATGTTTGATCCTCCTATATTACAGTAAGACGACACCTTAGATCATCACATCCTCTGCCCTAGACTTCAATATTTTGGATTTTCAACTGTATGGAAATCCGAATCTTTGAACGTAATGTATGGGATACCTTACGGTTCGATTTCAGATCCTTGTTATTCAGTAATTATATCTTTGATTTTCATTATACATAACAAATAGCAAAACACACCAGAAAGCGGACGACACCCAAATATATTCCTAACAATTTACCTCCAATTATTGACATTACATAAAATAAGTCTTCAACACGCTGCTTCCCAAAAACGAAAGCCTTGCAAACCCAAACATTTATCTGCAAAATACTTTTATATCAAAAGTATACCTAACGAATTGCAATGTGAAATATCTGATACTTTTCAGAAAACAGTAGATATGTATAATTCTCTACCAATTTCTCTATGCATAGACAGAAGACATCTGAAAAATTCACTCTTTAAAACCGGGAGATCTTCAGTAAAAATAAACAAAGAATGTTGAAGAGAAACCTGAGTATGTTAAAATGTTGGTCTGTTATTAAAAAGGAACTCAATATCCTTCTCCACGTCTCAACGTTAGTTGTATTTCTGTCGACTTTGCTCAAAATTTTCCTTGATACCGAATAGTTCGATTCTTTTGGAATTGTTAAATCGTATTCCATGTGCTCTTGGTTCGACCAATCGTTGCACTACCATTTTGCCTTGGCTCTCACATTTCTGATACTAGAGTTTTGAAGAATCTCAATCTAGTAGCTTTTGGGAATTGCATCAGTTTAAATCAATGACTTTGTTATTTTTTCTGGTTTCTATCGATACGGTTCTTCAGAATTGGGTCTTTTGGTTGTGACACATATCGACTGATAAAAAGTTTTTTTTTTTCGAATTTTAGATTCACAGCTACTCATTTAATTGTTAGAATCTATTTTTATTCTCAATGAATGGGAATGCATACTGATTGCTGTTCATTTGCCATCCGAAGACTAGGAAGAAGATAACTAAGATAAGTATAATGTTAAGAAAGGCTGATCAACTTAGAAACTCGACATGACGTGACATGTCATTTTTTTCTGATTATTGAATATTGGGTTTTGTATTGTATATATTAAGCATGTATCTATAAAGGAAGATATGAGATAACATTACCAAAACACTCAACAATATTCTTCTCCGTCGGCGTGGACATCCGGTCCACGCCGGCCTCCAACCGGCGTGAATGGAGGTAGGTATTATATAATTTTTCACTTTAGCACTCCCACGTGGACATCCGGTCCACCCGGCGTGAACGAGAGCACATTTATTTAACAACACTTAATCAGTATTTATTAACCCTATTTTTAATTTAATTTATGCATGCACGCAGGGCCGTCGCCATGGGGGGATGGGGAGAGCCTCCTCCCCTGCTATTTCGACTTGGAAAAAAGTTGGGAAATTTTGGCCGTGAAGATAGAAAAAAATAATAGTAAAAAAATGAATGAAAATTAAAAAAATTAAAATGAGAGAAAAGAAAGGGAGAGGTAATAAGAAAAAGGAAAGAACCAGGAGTAGGTTGGGATTTCACAACATGCATAACTTGGAGATCCCATACTTTGAAATTCTGAGTTGTTTGGAAACTTCAAAAAAAGTTTAATTTCTCCCAAGTAAGAGAACAGTCCAATAATTTTGAAGTGACAATTTTACAAAATTCCCAACTTTTCGCTGTTTTTTCGACTTGGAAAAGTTGGGAAATTTCGGGCCGTGAAGATAGAAAAAATAATAGTAGAAAACAATAAGCACAATATTATTTGAGTGTTGTTTCCTTTCATTTGAACTGAATATTCCTATACATGGTAGATATGGTGGAAGACCAAGGACCTTGGTCCAAAGTAGAATAATTCCCATTATTATTTTTATAATTACCCAAAATTTATTTTTTTTGTGCGTACCCTAACGGGCATCAGCATTCAGGCAATCTAAGTAAGAAAATTAATATATTATAGTAGTAACTAATCCCTTGGCTTTCATTTTCACGAAAGTTGGGAAATTTTGCTGGTGGGCTTGGGAAAATTTGGATTCCCTCCCCCCACCGGTTTTTCTTTTCACTACGGCCCTTTTTTGTACATAAGGTGCAATATAAATTGCTATTGCAGATTATACTTATTTTAGAAAAATATTTATAGGAAAAATTTCGAGTATTCCATACATACTTTTTCGTGAAGAATCAATCTCCTTGTAGTCGTGCACCTTTGACCAGCTGTTCCGATGCAAGCAAACAAAGAAGCCTGAACTACCATATTCAAATCCGCATCTTCCGCCACTAGTATAGCATTATTACCTCCTAACTCAAGCAGATGCTTTCCAAATCTCTTTTGAACTTCCAATCCAACCTAAAAGCAAAAATAAATGATGTTGAAGAGTTACTTGGAAAAAAAAGAGAGAAATACCGATCGTGATAGTTTTTAATTGATTCTATTCACCTTGATATATACATACAGGGTGTTTCAAATTCGATCCTCACCATTGGGATCTCGGAGACTATGAGAGATACGAAAATGGTTAGATTGGGACAAAGTTGCGCATTTACCTGACTAACAATATACTGTTAAGAAAGTTCTGTAATTCCGAGAATATCCGAAGAAATAAAGTAATTCTTATCATAATAGGCTTTGACTTTGATGTTTCTAAATTTGACTTTCAATTTATTACACACAATGACATTTTGTTATTTTACAAGTCATTGAATTTTTGGCGAAAAATGTCTTTCGCGAATGAGAAAAAAGAGATATGATACAAAATTATTACAAATACGATAGAAACAGTATTAGAAAGAATCCCATGTAGCGACCATAAGAAAAAATAAAGTTGATGATGGTGGCCTGAAGAAGAAACGTCGGGTAGCAAATCTGAAGACATCATTATGTAGCAGGGAAAAAGTGGCAATGTGGAAGTGCAATTTATTTTCAAATCCTTCGAAAAATGAAGCCAGAAAAAATAAAAACCATTTTCCGAAATTTCTGTTTTTTCCTGATATCTCCGGATATACTCGGAAATTCAGAACTTTCTCAACGGCATATTGTTAGTCAGGTAAATGCGCAACTTTGCGCCCTAATTTAACCATCTTCGTATCCCTCATTGTTTCCGAGATCCCAATTGTGAGGATCGAATTTGAAACACCCTGTATACACTCAGGTGCATACAAAGCGGCCACCTTGAGAAGTTAACAAGATTTGATCTTGAATAACTTTTTTATTTTCATCCTGATTTTGATAATTCTGGAAATTCATTCCAGATTGATTCACGTTTAACAGATTTTCTAATAAGTACCGATTCATATATACTATACGAGGAAAACTGAAGTTGTTTCTATGGTCTAGGTGTGAGACATGTTGTAGATGACACTCAAAATCACTCTGTATGCAACCTTAGTTCATTCCTTATACATCATTTCTTCAATAATTCTGACATCAAGATTAGTTTCAAATTTATGATTTATTGACTGAAGCATTGTCTTTTCACTACATTAGACTATGTTTTTATAATGGGCTGTGATTTTATAATTGAGTCTTTTGAGCGAAAGCGGAAAAAGCCAAGAAAGTACACGATTATTGTTAAGAAGACGAATAGATTACGGAACAGATAAAATCATGGCAGATTTGAAGAATGATGACATAGAAATAAAAGGAACTGAGATCATCTTCTCGTAATTTTATAAGAATGCCCAGTCACGAATTTGAGAATAAGGACCAAACATTTTCGAACAGAATACAAATTACAGATATGTTTTATCTGCATAAATGTCAATGTCCATGATGGTATTAGCAGGGGAAGAAGTTTTTCCTGATAGGTAAGTTAGGAGAGATATCCAATTTTGATGTTTCATTCCAAAATATGAAAAAATTAACAATACTGGATAGATTTTATTGAACACCTTGTATGAATTTAATTGAATATGAATATTTCAAAGATGAAAGAATGTGAACTTTCGTGGCCGGAAACAACTGTGTGAAAGCTATGTTCCAGGTATTTATGCCTGACTGCAGACCACGGCCAAAATAACCTGGAAAATAGCTTTCACACAATTTCAAAGATGATAAGCATAGAACATCATAGATACTAGACAAACCCAAAATGCTGGGCATTTATTTAAAAATGAAATAGAACATCCTAGACAAACCCAAAATGCTGGGCATTTATTTAAAAATGAAAGTTGTTGCCAAATTTCGAAATAACCGAAACTTAAGTTAAGTTGAAAGTATTTTAAATGAATACAACTTTATAAATTAATTTCTATTGAAAATTATCACTTATTTCAAATCGCTGTAGTTTTCAATTCGGGTACTTCTAACTGATCATTGTTACGAATCATCCTATATATTTTCTTTCCTTACCTGATGACCAACTTGTGTACTTCCAGTGAAAGACAGCAGTTTGATTCTGTTGTCGGCGGCCATTGCTTTACCAACGACTGCACCTCCACAGCAAAGTGTTGATACGGCAGTAGGGAGGTTATTTTTTGCTAGGACATCAGCAATTATTTTTGTTGTTGCCACTGACACCAAGGAAGTTGTTTCCGCACTTTTCCATAGAAGTGAATCGCCGCAAACCTTAAAATAAAAATGACAAGATAACATTTTTCCGTAATATATATTTCTTGCAATTGTTTATACTGATGAAGGGAAATCGTATGTACTTTGAAACTTTTCTACCACTCTAACCCATACAAAGTAAGTAAGTGTCATTTATTTGGAGACCCCTCATTGATAATTAATGTAATGACTTCTGACAGTCGCAAAAAAACTCAAACCAAAAAAATCTTGTGGCCCAGATATAATTCCCTTTTATATAGTTAAAGAATGCATAAAACTGTTGATCAAACCCCTAAAAATAATATATAACTGAATCTTGCAAACTAGTACTTATGCTATACTATGGAAACGCTCTAAAGTTTGTACAATATTTAAAAGTGGCATTAGGGAGAATATACAAAACTATCGGCTAGTAGCACTAATTTGTACACTCAATAAGCTTTTAGAAAAAATTATTCATGAAAACATTTTGAATCACGTTTATCCATGTCTAAGTGAAAAACATCATAGCTTCTTACCTAAAAGGTCCACGATAACTAACCTAACCTGTTTTATACAAGAGACAAATCAAGTTGTCGAAAATAATAGTCAACTAGATATCATTTTCACAGGCCTTCGACAAGGTTGATCACGAGGATTTGTTGAAAAAACTACACACTTTTGGGTTTTCAGATCGACTCTTGCAGCTGTCAGCTTCGTATCTTATAGACAGGAAACAGTGTCTAGTTTATAAGGGATGGTAATCAGAAGATTTCTTCATAAGATCTGGTGTACCCCAAGGGTCCAATCTAAGACCCTTCTTCTTTTTATTATTAATAGAAGATCTGCCAGAGGTAGTTCATGACTCGCAATGTGCACTATTCGCAGATCATTTTAAATTATTCAAGAAGATCAAAATTCGAGAAGATGTGATTTTGCTGCAAAATGACGTAGATAGAGTTTATGAGTGGTCCCTGTCAAATCGCCTCACATTTAATGTTGACAAATGCTTCAGTATGTTAATTACTAGGAAAAAACTACGGAATGATTTTCAGTATGAGATAAATAATGAATATTTAGCCAAGCAGACAGAATTTAGAGATTTGGAGGTTACGCTGGATGAAAAACTCACTTTTGAGCAACATATGACCAACATTATAAACAGAGCATATAGAATGCTTAGCTTCATTCTTTGGAACTCATTCGAATTCACAAAAATTTCCACATCACTGACACTTTATAATGCATTTGTCCGTAGTATATTGGAAAATGATGCAATAGTATGGTCTCCTTATTATTCAGTTCATAAAAATAAATTAAAAAGGTACAGAAAAAATTCTTGAGATTTCTACATTATAAAAAACATGATGAATATATTTTCAATCTTAGTTGTCGTACTTCCTTGAATGAAGTTAAATTCACAACCTTAGAATTTAGAAGAAAAATGTATTTTCTATTATTTTTCTATAAGCTATTATTGCACAATAAAGTAGATAATCCACATTTGTTGTCAAAAATTTATCTGAACTGCACTACATACTTCAATAATAGAAGAAAACCTCGAACCAACCTAGGCTCAAATTCCCCACTATACAGTATGTGTTCTCTTGCAAATTGTTTGAGGAATATAGATTTCTTTGTCAAATGTAATGTAATGTAATGTAGAAACATTAAAAAAATATATTGAAATTGAGATGTCAACCTCAGAAATTAATACTAATTGTAACTGAGAGACAATTTAAATAAAAAAGGTCCATTTGTCAATTTCAACTGAATGTGTATTTGAGCTTGATTTTAATTCAGATGATTTGGAGTAATTTTAGTTTTAGTTATTGTATTATATTTAGAATGGTTATTCAATTAGTTTTTTGATATTGTAATCGATTATTGGAACTGCTTGTTCTGTAGATTACTTAATAAATAAAATAAATAAATTAAAATATACCAATATTTTTTTGATATGCAGTATATGCATCTGAATATTTCCTTCATCATTAGATGAAGATAGATAGATAGTAATTTCCAGGAATTGTACTTTTTGATAAAAAAAAAATAATGGTGTGACATCACTCGTTGATGGAAGAGAGCTAGCAATCCCTATTTACGCCGAGGCTGGCTGTAATTTTCATACGGCAGAAAGGATGTTTAATACAAGATTTCCTGATCATCCGATCTGCCGAAAATATCCCAAGGGGTTGGTTGAACTTTTCAACTAGAAATGTAGATAGAACTAGAGGAGTTGGAAGAAAAACTACCTCGGAAAAGAAACAGATAGAAATCGTTGCATCTATAGTGAATAACCCTATGTAATCCACGACAACAGTTGCTCCTGAGAATTATGTCTCAACAACCACCAACCATCGTCAAGAAATACATCGGAAGACATAAGTTTCACCTCTACGAAGTGAAGACATACCCAGGCGTACCTATGGATTGATAGGGGTGGTCCGTTGGAATGGCCTGCTTGTTCACCGGATTTGACTTCTCTCGATATATATCGAATCGATGATTAACGAAACTTGTGCTAGCATCAGCTCAGGAACATTCTAATTTAATCTGACATAGGGTGGTGGAGTCACAAAATTTTTAGTCCTGAATTTGAACATCAATAACTCCGTAATATGTTATCGGAATTCAAAAAAGTGTCATTGTAAAGAGATTTGAAATACTTTTTAAACGAAATGTCACAAGACTCCTCCTCCATAAAAAAAGTTGATAGCGGCCTCTTGGTAGCTAGTGATGTAACACTATTGGTTTTTCTATCAAAAAGTACTAAAAACTCTTTCTTTTTACAAAAATTTTGTCCGACTTGCCCTCTCGAAAGTTAAAAGAGAGGGGACTCGAGCGGTTGAAGATGAGCGGTAATAATTAATTGCCATGTATGGCATGGTTACGAACGGCCATGTAGGTCGACATGAGGGATATCTGTTATCAAGTTCGTGAAAGTACTGGAAAAAATTATAAATTATTCTGGAGGAAATGAAGTGGAGAAGAAAAATTCGATAAACCTACTTTTATTACCTAATTAATCAGGGCGAAGTTTCTAAGAGCATGAATCTTAGTGTAAGGAACGACAGCGAAGAACAGTTTTTCCATGTTTTTAATTTGTATTTTTGTGTCAATAAAATCGTTGAATTAATTTGTGTCAGGCGTAACAGTACATTTCTTTAATATTGTTATTATTTTTTATTTCATTTATCAGTGCATTGCGATTAGTCTCTGACAATCATTGAAAGCTCATTTTCATTCATTATTATGTTGATTCCGTTGTAACACAATCTAATTCTATCTATAACCCATTGTCAATTAAAAAATATTTGACAGAGATTCAGAATAGATTCAGATTCATAATATAATCTATTTTGATCTCAATAGTCACAAAAATTATTTTTATGAGAAACATTCTCATTTGATTTCTCCCTTGTTAGAATCAAACTGGATGTATTTTGTTGAAAGCTGATGCATAGATGTTTTCTGTTTTCAAAATGAGTTCCAGGTTATAAAAAATACTGTGATGAAGAATTATACTCAAAATTATACTTAAAATTATGGGTTCTGTTTGAGTGAAAGAATTCCATGTAACCCGATAGCCATTAAAATAACAGTTATTTCAGGATGCTACTGAACGTTTGCTATCATGATGATTTTAACATTATAATAGCAAAATAGAGTGAATTCCAGTTCTCCAAAATTACTTACCTCAACAGATATGGCATACAAGGGGCCATTCTGTGATCAAGAAGTTCGCTTCAAATATAAATCTCGTCATATCCGAAGAATTTTTTTATGTGATATCGGTATAGGCCTCAAAGATACATTTACTGTTTTTATAATGCTTAATGTTCAGTCTTTTATTTGACTCAATAATTCAAATCGTATTGTTTTTTGAAAAACCGTTATACCTTCATTGCAATATATTTGATTATTTACATATGGCTTCAATTAGTCACCCTTTCTCCTACAATAAATAGTAATAGTTTGCGACTAGGCAAAAAAGTAGAAGGAATATGAGAAACGAAAATAATAAATGAGTTGAGAAATGAAACACAATCAGAAATGAACCGTTGGTGGTAACGAAATTCAAGACAATTAGTAAACCGTGATATTTTCCATGGAACCGATCTCATTCCTAAGGACAGGTAAATAAAGACAGTGAGTAATAAAGATAATCTGAGCACTACATATTGACAGGGAGTGGAACAAAATTGGTTTCATAATTTTAGTCTTTTGTTCTCTGAAATATAGATATGCTTATACTTGTTACAGAAATGAAGGTTTTTACTTTTTTTCAACGAAAGGCATAAAAAAGTGAGTCATCTCAAAGGGATTCAGAAACAGTGCCGTGATATCAGGATAAAGTTGAATTTTTGCTTTTGGCATAGTGCTTTTCTGTCAACATGTAATATCATGTAACACATTACAAGCTTCAACAACGTACAAAGCTTTTCATTCAATTGAAAATATTTAGCAATTCAAAAATTTCTTGAACAATAGAAAAACATTGTTAAAATACTCCAACCAAAAATATATTTCATTACCATAGCAATTGCACTGTTCCAGCCATACACGGCGATTGGGAAATTGAATGCTGTTATGACTCCAACAAGACCTAGAGGATTCCATTTTTCCATAAGAACATGTCCGGGACGTTCGGATGGTAGAATTAATCCTGATAGAGATCGAGATAGTCCTACAGCATAGTCGCAGATGTCAATGTATTCTTGTACTTCTCCAATACCTTCAGGCAGTATTTTTCCTGAAAATAATCAGATAGCACAGTTTTATGGTGAAACATTGTTTGAAATATAATTAAGTATTATTTTGCTGATTATGGAAAAATAATCAAAAAAATTCATCACGTAAAGTTTGCTTGCAAATTCTACCAATTTAGACAAGTTATCATTACAATAACACAATCACAATTATGCTTGAATGAAATCAATATCGGCTTAGATCTACTTGAAGGTAACTAGTAAGTCACGATTGAAAAGGACAACTGATCAAATCTGGTTTCAACTGATCTACACCAGCCCCCTTTTACCTTCGTTTACTACAGTTCCTAGCTGTCAAGCCTTTTTTTACTTTTCTCTGACATGTGTCTCTTGACTCCATGTTATTCATATGTGGTCTGAACTGGCATGAGTTTTATTTTTTAACTTGTGTTGTTAATTTACGATGACCTCCAGAGGATGAAACTCCACCCGTTTGTTTCTGCTACATTTGTATCGTTTCATTGAAAGTGTTCACTTTGTTTACTTGGCATGGAGTAAGCAATTAAGACAAACCGAGGTGTCTCGATGAAGTCTGTCCAGTTTGTGTTGAAAAATTGAAGCAAAGAAGTCAAGATAAAAAACATTTGTTTCGTTTGGCATTTCAATGACTGCTATTGTTGATTTTTTAAGTTTCGCCTTGAAAAATAGAATCAAGATATCTTATCCTAACATACCATCAGCAACCCGCCTGTTCCACACAGGTATACTCTAGTTAACATTTTAGGTCAGACAGACATGTTGCCTACACCGTGTGTTAGTGAAGAAGACAGTCAAATCAGTGGCTTTCCTGATCCAGGCGGAGGTGAACTCAAAAATTCAGTCAGATTTGTTTAGAATCGCAAGAATCGTTCAATTTATTATGTGCTCTTGAAGAACTGAAGAATTTTTTTTTTAATTGATTCGGCTGTTACTTGATGAAGATCCATAGTAATTTCATAAACTACACCTNAAGGTAAACGTGAAAGAGTTGAAACTGTACTACTAGAAGATGTTCAGGAAAATGAATTCTAGAGTGGCAGAATTATTCAGCAGAATGGTAGCCATTTCGGATATTAGCACTTCCGAAAAGTGTTTTTTTCTCCTTCTTTGCTGTGAATTTTTGAACTAGATAGAAATGAAATTTTGTTTTCAAAGACTTTTTCTGCTATTTATTTCGTGTGAGTTAAATTTATTATTGGAGTATATCACGAATTATTTATACAGCTGATGAGAAAGTAGGTATAATAAAATGGAGACAAAATGTTATTGCATAATAATATTTTTTGATACAAAATATCTGAAACAAAATAGCAACATTAAACTTAAAAAACGAAATTAATCGATTTTGGTCCCCATATCATGATATTTTTGACACCAGTAGACAGAGCTGAGAAAACTGCACTTTTTTCTCCATTCAAGCGACTTTCTATAGTTCAAAAGTTACCCTTATATTCACATTGAAAAAGTGGCCACCCTGTATACCACATTCGAACATTCTTGTGTTCGTTTTTCCTTTACAGTATTTTCGAGTTTTGCCAAAAAACAGTTCTAGGCTGACGCGTGCCTGTGTCGTGGTCGTAACATTATTATTAACATGCTTTTATTAGCTTCACCGGTATGTATGTATGTATGTATGTTTGTTCGTAACTCTCAAGCTAGAGATCTGTATTTGACAGAATTATCGACATTATTGCCTGATCTATTCGCGGGCAGATGGCACTGTACGCAACATCCTTGATATATCGACATTATTGCTTGATCTATTCCCGGGCAGATGGCGCTGTATGTAACCTCCCTGATATATCGACATTATTGATTGATCTATTCGCGGGCAGATGGCGCTGTACGTAACCTCCTTGATATAATTCGAACTCACTTTACATGCATTTCTTCATTTGAAAAAAGTATTTTTTTTAATAACACGCACGCCTGCTGCCATATTTGTAACCCTCCTTTGCGCGCCTGCTGCCTTGGGCTTGGTAGCTGATTTTCGGGCTCCCTCTCCGGAATCGGAAAATATCAATGGTCATTTTTCTAAACAGTATACGGCTGATTGATCCCAAAGTTTAGATAAAATAAATTTAGTTTGGAAAGACTAAAAAATACGCTTTTATAGCATACGAAACTACAAAATAAAAAATAAACATAGTTTAAAAAACACGCTTTTAAAGAACATCGAACCAAAAAGTTAAAGATATTTTTTTAAATTATAAGCTTAAAACAATAACGAACGAAAAATACTAGTAATATTGTGAAAAAAGCGTGGGCGCTTTGTGCCTTTTTTTGTACAGGGTGATTCAAAAGTACTTTGACAAACTTCAGGAGGTGATTCCTCACAATATTCTAATATGAATTGTCCGAATAAATAAATGTCCGGAAACGCTTCGTTTCCAAGATACAGGATGTTGAAGTTTTATTTTCGTTTTTTTCAAATAACTTTTGAAATACTGAACTTAATTGAACGAAACTTGGTAATAGGAGGTTTTTGAGGTGTCGAATTCGAACCTGATGTTCTTATTGCTCTTACTCGTAGGGGGCGCCACCTACACGTCTTTTTCTTTTTTAAAGATTCATAACT